GATTCTCATCCCCCAACCCCAGGTCTGGTCCAATCCGTCCACAGTCCACATTAAAAATGGTAAATAGGATCTGAGAAGACCAGGGGTTTTCCAGGGTCCCAAGGACCACAGACCAGAACCCAGGTGTCTGCATTTCCTGTACCTCTGGGCCAGACACAAGGCCAGGGCTCATTGTAATGACTGGCACTTGTTGAGACCAGGTGGACTGCGTACCAGCCACAGGTCCCGTCTCATCTGCTTTTTGATACTTAGCCCTGACGCATCCTATGGGGTGAACACGGTTCTTCTCACAAGAAATCAGCCCAGTGACTTTTCAACTTTTTATTTGAGCTGCACAATTCTTTGTTCAAGAGAAATCTTAACCACAACCCCAAATAAGAATCAGGTAAAATTAGAGGTGGGCCCCCTCGCTTAACCTTGAACCCCTACAGGGATCTGGAGGCACTTTCTCAGGGGTCTTCTGAGAGCTCAGTTTAAAAACTGCCCATGCCATCCAATTCTACCTATTCTAGAATTGGAGGCCCAGAGGAGGGGAGGAACTTAGTGAGGGTCACTCAGGGAATTACTATTACAACTAGGCCTGCAACCAAAGTCCTGGGAACTTCAGTCCATGTTCCATCCCTGACACCTCTTTTATTAGGAAACAGAGGCCTTATTGTAACAGCTCTAACATGCAATCTCTTCCACGCTGTACTTTAAGCCTGGGCTTGCAGTGGGCTCTAGTAATGTGCTAGTTTCTTCTTCCCCCACTCCATGTCCTCCTTGCCTCCAGCTCTCCAGGCCACCGACCACAGGAGGAGAATCCTACTTTCCAGAACCCACTGCTGTGAGCCAAATGGATGAGTGTGGTGTGAAGCCCACAGCGCCATCATTTACCTTAGGAGTCCTCCATTCTTCCCAGATTATTTAGTGCAATGCTTCATCGCTCTGTAATATTCACAGGACACTTGACATTAGAAAGGGCTTAAAAAGTCCCATGAAATAGGGATTTTGAGTTCAGCCACACCTTGGGGTGTATAAATGGTTCTACCACTTCAACGCCACACTGGAACCTCTGGGAAACAAATCATTAACCCTCTTGGGTGCCATAAGAGGAGACTCAGGAAATTTGATGATCGTACCCCTGGGTGTGGCATCTCTGGGGGTGGCCTGCTGCCCAGCCCACATCCCTCCACTAGCAGACCCGTATCCACCACCTCCTTTGCTCTCTGGCTCAGTCTTCAGTTCCTTCTGCCCCAGCTGGCTTTCCTATGGATTTCTTTCTCCCCGTTTCCTTGTCTTGGCTCACTCATTCCCAAGGGTCCCATCTATGATTCTTTATCTACAGTTTTATTGCCAGTCATCTAGAAAAGGAGTTAGCTGGCAAAGATATATAGGATATATATATATATATAAGCACAGAAAGCTCCTGGGGTCCTCAAACTGTTTGATTTCCTGGAGCTGTATCCTGTCTGGTCCTGTCCCTGTAACACCCCTTCTTGGGTGGTTCTAAGGATGGAACACAGACCTGAAGCTCCCAGGACTTTGGTTGCAGTGCTAGTTGTGATAGTAACTCCCTGGGTGACCCTCACTTGGGTGGTTCTAAGAGTACCAGAGGTGACTGGGTTTTGTTTTGTTTTTCAAACTTTGTTTCATAAGATTCCAATTCGGGGAGCAGTTTCTTAGAGACATGGTGACATGTCAAAAAGATTGGGGAATTTTGTTTGCAACCTACCCCTCTTGGAGACATCCATTGCAGAGTAGCATAAGAAAACTCAGAGAAGTCCTAAAGTCTAGATCTCGGAGAACCTGACACAACCTTGAACCCGTTCAAGCACTGTCTTAGCTGTTTGTTGCTAGAACAAACTACCGGAGGCTGGGTACTTTATGAAGAAGTTTATTCAGCTCAATTTTGGAGGCTAAAGATTCCAGGTGAGGGCCCTCCTGGCCACGTCACAACATGATATATGACACGATGCTGGGAATGTATATGAGAGGAAGAAATCACATGGCAAGATAGGAAGCTGGAGAGTGGGGAGGGCCAGTCTTGCTTTTTTATAACAACACCCTCTGGCAAGAACTAACTCCTTCCATAAAAGCAGCATTAATCCCTCCAAAGGGCAACACCTTCCATGACCCAATGACCTACTGCTCTGCCCCACTTTTTAAAGGTTCTACCACTTCAATGCCACCACACTGAGGGCCAAGTTTCCAGCACAAGAACCTCTGGGAAACAAATCATTAAAAAACTGTGTTTTGTAGTCCACGGGGTGCCAGTTTGGAGGCCCCTCTGGACTTCTCTGTGAGTTGGTCTGGAAACCTCTGAGCCCTTCAGTAGGGTCCCTCTTGGCCTTAGGATAGAAATCATAGATCCACCTTCTCTCCTGGCTTCACTTAGGAAAATCCAAATTAGGTTGCTTCCAAGGACCTCAAGGAAGGTTTTTCATCAATACCAGAGCATTGTCAGACAGCTGTGCTTTCTTTGGAAGAAAATGGAAATGGATCAAGGGGGGGCCCATTTATGGTCTGAACACTGCATTCTTGGGGTCTGGTCAAAGGAAGACGTCAGACCAGGCTGAGCCATTCTTAGAGGAAAGGATGGAGCTGGGGTTGCTGTATTTGGGAGGCAAGTCCTCCTTATCAAGCCGGCTGTCACGTCTTCAGATTTCTCCTAAAAATGTGCCCACACACTTGCAGACACACTAATCAAATGTACTCTCTCCTTTAAACGAAAACTCAACTTTGCTTTTAGTTTATTTTAGGTTACTTTTAATTGCTTTCAATTAACAACTAATTCTAGGTGGTAGATCGGGTGGTTGTTTTCTTGTTTCATTTTTCTCTCCTGTGGAAAATTCCATCAGTCACTTCACAGCTGAGTCACAGGTTTTGTTTGTTTGTTTGTTTGCACGGGGGTCTGAATAAAGCTGCTGTGAAGATGGGGATAGCAATTATGTAAGTGTGTGAGGGCTGCTGGAACAAAGTGCCTCACGCTGGGTGTCTGGAACAATAGGAATTTATTGTCTTGAAGTTCTGGAGGTTAGAAGTCCAAGGTCAAGGTGTTGGCAGAATGGTTTCTTCGGAGGGCTGTGAAGAAGAACCAGTTCAAGGCTTCTCCCCCAGCTTCTGGTGTTTTCTGGCTCTCCATGGCTCGTAGAAACGTTCTCCTGACTGTGCATCGTCACATAATGTCCTTCTTGTGTGTATGCCTCTGTCCGAATTTCCTCTATTAGGACACCAGTCACATTGGATTAGGGGCTCATCCTACTCCTGTATGACCTTGCCTAAACTTGATTAATTATATCAGCAAAGACCCTATAAGGGTCACATTCTAAGTAAGGCCCCATCCTTCCTTGTGTTACTGAGTCACTGAGGTACTGGGGTTAGAACTACAACATATAAATTTGGAGGGGCCAAAGTTCAACCCATGGCACTGCTTCTGTCCCACGGTACTTAAGGAACTTGCAAGCTGTTGCATCCCACACCTGCCCATCAGGAGAGATGGCTGGGGGCTCGGCTCAGGTAACTTGAAGGACAGGTAGAGACAGATGCAGAGATACAGCAGCTCTGCAGCAGGTTTACCTTTCCCAGGAGGAGAGGAGCCCAGAGCCTCCTCCCGGCTGACTGATCAACAAAGGCAGGTAGGGGACTGGAACTGGGTTCAGTCCCATGAGAAACTTCCAGGGTGGGGACCTCTATGGGGAGGGGACAATGTAAACCCCGATCCTGCCCACGGGAAGCCACATGGGGGACATTCACAGGAGTTGCATGGAGAGGTGTGGGCCCAGTGCCAGGCCACGATGCACTTGGGTTTGTGAGGGGTCATCAAGGCTCCTCAGGGAGGTGAAGTACGAACTGGGATTCTCATGTTATTGGACAATTTTTGTCATGCTGATGGATAGAAGGACTCAATGCCCCATTGTCCCCTCAACTGCAAGAGACTGTGTGTGGTACAGTGGGAAGCACTCATGCGCTGACATCAGGGGTCCCAAGTCAGGCCCCAGGCCATCCCTCCAGTTCTTCATGGATAAATGGCTTTAATTTAAAAATCTGGTTTACAGGAGATGCTGAGGAGCTGGAAAGAGTTAACAGGGAAGGGAATCTCATGGCTCTAGAAAGTAGCAGACACAGAGTCTCAACACAGGAGCTGAGTTTCATCTGTGAAAAGGGAACCCAACGGCATCCCTCTCCAATGAGAGAGAACAGGCGTGGGCCCTGGCCTCCCTGGTTCCCATGAGCCAATCACTTCTTCCCTTTGGACCAACTCCCTTGAGAGTGAAATGAAGGGCCCAGGCTAGACAGTGTCCCTCCGCCAGGACATTAAGTGATTCTATCAAAAATGTTTTGAGACAATACAGGCTTGAAAAGCCAACAGACTGAAGTACAATTTGTGGTCATGTGATGTGGGTGACTCACTTAACCTAAGTCCAATGTCCCCGTCTCTGAAAGTGATGGTAAATAGCCCTCATGGGTTAAGTTTGAAAATGTTCCTGAAGTGTTTAACATGTGGCTTGGCGTTTGGTAGTAAAAGTTAGCTCTTATCAGAGCCTCTGTTTGGTCAGGATTGAATGAGTTGTGGTAGGTGAAGGGCCTGCCCGCAGTAGGTCTTCCATGAATCACGGACACTGCATTTTCCCTTTAAAACTCGGTCCTGGCGGAGCTGTCCCCATGATTCCCACTGGGGCCTTGGGTAGAGGGGGAGGGTTGCCTGGAAAAGAATGTGAACTATTTGAAGAATAAAATTGTTTTCAAGCCCTCGAGCCATTTTAATCACCCATTTGCTCATCTTCAGTAGCTGTGCCCCTTACAACCAACGTGAACCCATTCAACCACCCGCCTAGGGGTTCTACCTTGTTCAGTTTCTTAGAGAATTAGGCCCAAAACCAGAGAGCTGTTTCCAGCATGGTAATAATTATCCTGGCAATTCGTAAAACAGGCCCAGGCCGCCTTATGACGGACAAGCACCCTTTCACTTGAGAACAAACCTAAGGAGGGTCTTTCTAAGATTTCTCTCTTTCCGGTAGGTCACAGATCACACAGAAACTCGGAAGACAAAGGTAAATCCCACCACGCCATGTCCTACAGACGAGAGCTAGAAAAATACCGTGACCTGGACGAAGACGAAATCCTTGGAGCACTCACAGAGGAAGAGCTCAGGACGCTGGAAAATGAGCTGGACGAGCTGGACCCTGATGTGAGTGGGCACTAGGGGAACACGCTGCCCCAGGTCAGGGGCCGCGCCCTCAGCACCGGGTGGGCAGGCGTGTCTTCCCCATTGCCACTGTCTTCTCCTTATATGGCAGTAACACTGAGTAATGATGTCTTTGTATGGTTTCTTAAAAAGTGCTGTTTAGAGTTCTCCAGGAAAACCGATCCAATGAGATAAGGGTAGATACAGAGGGTTACTATGAGCAGTTGGCTCAAATGATTTTGGAAATTGACAGATCTCGAGATCTGCAGTAGGAAGCTGGAGACAAGGAGAGCTGGGGTGCAGCTGGGGTCTACCTGCTGGTGGGCAGAAGGCCCCGGAAGAGGCAATGTTTTAGTTTGAGTCCAAAGGCAGAAATCAGTGCCCCAACTCCAGGTGGCCAGGCAGGAGGAAACACGGCACCCTGACAGGAGGGTCGGCTTCTTTGTTCTGTTTGAGCTTTGGATAGATTGGATGGGGCCCATCCACAGGGGCAGCCTGCTCTCCTCAGTCTTCAGATGCAAATGGTAATCTCATCCAGACACACTCACAGATACAACCAGAACGAGGTTCCCCAAGTGTCTGGGAACTGTGGCCCGACAAGTTGGCTCGTAAAACCAACTGTCACAAGTCCTCTTCTTGTTAACCCAGCATCTCTTTGAACCATAACTAATTTTCAAATAGGGGCAGTACCAAGGTTGTACTTCCGCCTAACACGATACAACCAATCTGTGTACCACAGGGAACAAATGAACCTATTCCCCAGAAGGGGTGGTAAAGTTCTTGAATGCTGTTGACTCTTCTCCAAATCCTGTAACCTAAACATTATGATGGAAAATGAACAATACTTAAATACTATCAAATATAGTCAGGGGTGGCGGCACACACCCTGTAATCCCGGTGATTTGGGATTCTGAGGCAGGAGGGTTGCAAGTTCAAGACCAGCCTAGGCAACTTACAAGAGAGTCCCGAAATGAAAAATAAAAGGACTGGGGATATACCTCACTAGTAAAGTGCCCCTGGTTTCCCAATACCCCAGTGGGGGTGGGGGGTGGGGGGGTGAGGAAACAAAACCCCACAATGGTGTAAAGTCAATAACAGTTTATGTTACATAATAATGAAATGAGAGGGGAAAACTAAAGATATTTGCTACATACACACATTCATAAAACAAAGGAAATATTCATGACAATTATTGTCCTCATTCCTATAACTGGTCAGATGCAGGCGGCTTGTATTTAAAATGACTTCTTTCCACCACCCATTCTGACATCCTGTTGCTTTTAGCGACCACCTCAGCTGATTGAGGACCTTCATTCTGAAGGCTCTCAGCCGTGTGTAGTCCTTCTGGGGTGGTGGTTGACTTTTCCATTGACCTTGATCACAGGGCATGGCGATACTGAGAGATGCCTACAGGACCTCCCATGTTCCAAGCTCAGGCTTTGTCCCCTCTACTGTGAACTGGGGGGTACAGTTTCCACTTGGTGGCTGGGATCAGCCACCCCAGCCAGCGCTGTGGCTGCCTTCTCAGCCTGTTGATTCCCAGGCACAAGGAGCCCAGGTGGCCAGGGGGAGCCTTACCTTCCTGTCCAACGGATCCTTATGCCTCCAATGAGAGAAAGCATTCCTCTTGTTGCCCTGTCACTTCTAGACAAGCAGAGCCTAAGGTCAAGAGAACAGGAAGCAAAAATGTTGCCAGGAGTCCCTGGGGACACTCCCATTTCCAACCTTGACTCCTAAACCTGTGAATCCTGCCTATGGCCATATATTGGCCCCCTGATTCAGAGCATGCGCAGCCTCCTGGAGCGCCTTGACTAGGGCCCGGCAGGCCACGGACACCTACCTGGCTGCTGCTGTCACTGGGTCTTCCAAGGGCCATTCCACTGTTCTGTCAAGTGCAGTGCTTTTGGATGGAGGGGAACATGCATTGTAGAATGAATTAGTTGAGAAATAAAGGACTAGAAGAATTCCTGTCACTTGTTTGATGTTTTATCATTGCATTTCATAGTTGGCACATTGAAGAAGTTTTAATTTAATTTAATGCTCAGAATTCACCTCTGTAGTCAGGATACCCAGTATTGATAAGCAGAAGGCTCCCTGGTAGGCAAGCCATGCTGGAGTAAGGGGCAGGGTCTTCATGCTAAAATTATATCCCAGCATAAGGTCTATGCTTAGCACAAAGAAGGCAGATAATGAATGCTACTGAATTTGGTGCATTTCTATTTGATGTGTTTTTAATTAAAAATGGAATGTTTCATGCCTTTAAAAAACAGTCTTCATTCAACTCTGGCCTAACAGTGATCTACCAAACAAACAAAATTTTAAAAAAGCACCTCACTTTCGTTTCACTAGCGCACAGATAATCACTGCTGATGTTTAGGGAGCACAGTACAGCAGGAAAAATGCAAAACTGGAGGTTAGAGGTCCCATTTCCACCCCTGTCTCTGATACCCCGTGTGACCCGGGGCCAGTTCCTGTCCTTCCCTAGGCCTCAATGTCCCATCCATGACATGCTGGAGTTGGTTGGTCCCTTTCAGGACTAAGCTTCCATGAGCTTATCACCTGGTCTTATCCCCAGACTCCATGAAGTGGCTTCTTTCCAGATAACCCAGAATCCTTGACTAGGGTCCGGGATCCATGCCCCATGGGATGACAGATCCTTCCAGCAAAGTGTCCTCATCTTGCTTTTCACAGCTTTCCCCTGCCCAGCCACGAGGAGACAATGCCCTGGAGAGGCAGCTTCTGCTGATCAGAAGGCAGTGTGGGTGGAGGGAGCTGAGGTTCCTCCGCCTTCCCGCCTGTCTCCTCCTGCTAGGCTGCACGGCTACCGAAATGAGCAACAGAGGCCAGCAAAACAATCCAGCTTCCGCTTCATTGCTGCAAAATTATTCTGTTCTAATTCTATCCTAGATTACTGTTCATAGAATTTCAAGAACAAACAGCTTTTGAAAGTTAGAACAAAAGGGGATGTGGCTGCTTCTAGTCAATTCGATAAATGTGACTCAGTTACCTGCCCAGCCCGGGGCCCTGTGTTGGGCACCAACAGGGATCCTGCCCTTCAGGACTCAGGGTGGTAAAAGCAGGTGTAATAATCAGGTCCTATGTGGGGCAGGCAGGGGGCTCAGGATTATCTCTTGGTGGGAGGCTCCACAGAGCAGGTGATATTGGAACTGGGCCCTAGATTTTCCAAAGTCAATAATTAAAAATGAAGAACTCCAGGTGAAGGCATCTAGCACGGGCTGCAGGAGGGACGGTCCATGTGGGAAGAAACTGGGAGGGGGAGCCTTGGTGATTTCTGTGGAATGTTAGATGTGACTAGAAAGGGGTCAGGGGCTGGATATGGGGCAGGGTGGCAAGGCAGACAAGAGTGGACTTCTCTCAGTAGCCTGGGGAGCCCTCAAGGAGCAGTGACTCCATGTGCTTTGGTGACTTCAGGAGCTGATTCTCAGCACAGAGGGACTATAAGGGGTACCAGAAGGGACGGAGAGGGGGCTTGGGCGTGAGTCCCCCTGTTCTGTCCACCTGTTAGTGGCAAGTGCTCTTGAAGGCAAGGAAGGGCCTGACCTTCTCCACAGCCCTTCCTGCAATGCCGTAGAACACTTGCTATTCCCAGAGAGGAACAAGTGGACCCCCAGGGTCCCACAGGCCTGCTGTGTCTCTCTTTTTGCCCTGTTGGAGTTTCCCTGAGCCACTGGGTGGGGATATTAGGTGAGGCTGCAATTGCAAATAGGGCATCCGATGACAAGGATCAGAGACCAGCATTCGCCCCAGGAGTGAGGAGGGGGCAGGGGAAGGCGCCATCCCAGAATTGACAGTGTAGCCCTAAGGACCAAGCCCAGGCCCCAGCTGGGAACCATGTCACTAACCTGGCAAAGATCCTCCACAGAGCCCAACACCAAATATCAGGTTCTCCAGCCTCAGGGGCAAATTCCCAGGGCCTTGGTACCTCTTAGAAGCCAGCTCTGCTGTCCAGGTGAGTAACAGGGATGGCTCTGCTGGTTCCCATGGAGGGAGGAGCATGGAGGCTCAGATTGCCACCAGCTTGCCTATACTCACACCACTAGAGTGACACCACAGGGCTCGGGCTCTGGGAGTCGGGTTGCAAGCAGGCTCCAGAGTGTGTACAGGCGGCTCTGGCAGGAGGGGAGCCATTGTGCCGGTGGGTCTGGGAGTGGGCACAGGCCACCTGAGACCTGGCATTCTCAATTACTGGGGTTTCTAAAGTGACATTGTCAAACACCCCTTTCTCCCTCAGTCGAGGAAGAAATCAGAGCGGATGGGAGATAACAGGCCAAACCGGCTTTTTGTCCCCAACACACAATGGCCCCTTCACTTGGGATCATCTCTGTTACCTGATTTGCAAGACAGTATTCCTGTTTTGAAAGGCCTGGGGTAGGGGCTTCTTTCTGAGAGCTCAACATTCCAGCTCTAGTTTCCCCCTGCCTTGGCCCGCTCCAAAATCACAGCCCTGGGAGAGGCCAAAGGTATGTGGACCGTGAGAGGACAGTCAGCAGCGGGTATGCAACCCCCAACTCAGAGCAGGAGCCAAGCCCAGAGAGGGGAAGCAACCTGTCCTAGATCTGAGATGTCCAAACAGAACCAGAACAGAACCCAGGGGCCCTGATGCCCAGGCTGCTGCCCTCCTGTGTTGACTTTTGTGTCACATGAGCTGACATGGCACTTGGGACGTGCAGATGCTGTTCTGAGCACCTGGAATATATAACTCAGCCATCACCCTAATCTTCTGAGGCAGGTGCTCTTCTCATCCCCGTTTTACAGATGAGGAAATTGAGCAGTGGGGGAACTTGTCCAAGGTCCCACAACCTGGCAGTGGCAGAGCCACGACATGGTTCTGGAGTTCACGTCTTAGCCAAGTAGCCTGAGGCTTCATGGGAATCTTCATGGGATCGTTTGGGTCCTGTCTCTATTCTGGCCTTGGGCACTTACTTTTCCCTCTTTGGGTCTCAGTTCCCTTGACTGTCGATGGACATAGTTGGATAAAAGAC